GGAAATTGGTATCGACCGCTAAACAGTCATGCTACTTTGCTAGACAAATATTGGACCAAAATTCACCTGGATAACCTGGATAAGCGAGAACTGAATGAGGTATGTGGGTCTTACAAAGTATCAATGCTGGCTGGGCACGGTGGCTCCCTCCTGTAATCCCAGCACTTTGGGAGGCTGAGGCGGGCAGATCACAAGGTCAGGAGATAGAGATCATCCTGGCTAACACGGTGAAACCCCCTCTGTACTAAAAATACAAAAAATTAGCCAAGTGTGGTGGCAGGCGCCTGTAGTCCCAGCTACTGGGGAGGCTGAGGCAGGAGAATGGTGTGAACCCAGGAGGCAGAGCTTGCAGTGAGCCAAGATAGCGCCACTGCCTGCCAGCCTGGGCTACAGAGTGAGACTCCATCTCAACAAAAAAAAAATCAATGCTTTTCTTTTTTATGTGAAAGTTCAAAACTTGCATGAAACAGGAAATAGTATAATAAACCGCCTTAGAAGATGTCAGTGGTTTTCTTTTTTACATGAAAAGTTCCAAACTTGCATGAAATAGGAAATAGTGTAATAAACCACCAGAATACTCATCAACCTAAATTTTACAGTCTGTGTGCTAGTATTTTACTGTATTTGCTTCATCTATTATTTTTTCTGTGCTAATATATTTGAAAGCAAACTCCCAGCATACATCTCTAAAAATTTAATGGCATTTTTATATATAACCACAATAACATTATTATACACAATAAAATGAACAGTAATTCCTCAGTATCATTGAATTCTTAGATTATATTCAGATTTTCCTAGTTGTCTCCACAGGATCATTTTACTAAGTTGATTTGAGGTCATATCTTTCACACTTAACTTAATGGACATTTTGATCTAGGAATTAATGAGAATTGAGGTAAATCACTTTATAGGTTTTCTACATTGATTTCATTTCTAGTATTGTAGTTATCCTAGATCAGTAAGAAGTATGCTACACTTGACTGTGCTCATGCCCTACTTCCCTTGTATGTCTCACTTGGAAGATTTCCCTTCCTCAGTGCTTTATCTAGGAGAGTGGCAGACAAAGCATTGTCAGTGGTCATGCAGACATGGAAGAGATGCTTTTCCCTTTCTTGATGTAGGTATATAGATAAATATGTGTTACCAAACAAACTTCTTTTTTTTTTTTGGAATACTGAGTTTCGCTCTTGTTACCGAGGCTGTAGTGCAGTGGCGTGACCTTGGCTCACTGCAACCTCCGCCTCCTGGGTTCAGGCAATTCTCATGCCTCAGCCTCCCAAGTAGCTGGGATTACAGGTGCCCACCACACCCTTGGCTATTTTCTTTTGTATTTTTAGTAGAGACGGGGTTTCACCATGCTGGCCAGGCTGGTCTCAAACACCTGACCTCAGGTGACCTGCCTGCCTCAGCCTCCTAAAGTGTTGGCATTATAGGTGTGAGCCACTGTGCCTGGCCACAAACTTCAAATATTTTCCTACCTTTTCTTTTCTTTTTTTTTTTTTTGAGACAGTCTTTCTCTGTCTCCCAGAACAGTGCTCTGTGGCATGATCTTGGCTTGCTGCAACCTCCACCTCCCAGATTCAAGTGATTCTCCTGCCTCAGCCTCCCAAGTAGCTGGGGCTACAGGCATGTGCCGCTACTGGGGGAACCGCCCCCAATATTTCAACATAGGTTCTTTCTATTTTCCATAAGGGTCGGCCAACTCAGCAATAAAGAGAAAGAGTACAAAGAGAGGAATTTTACAGCTGGGCCGCCAGGGGTGGCATCATATATCTGTAGGACCGTGATGCCCACCTGAGCCTTAAACCAGCAAGTTTTTTATTAAGGGTTTCAAAAGGGTAGGGGGTGTAAGAACAGGGAGTAGGTACAAAGATCACATGCATCAAAGGGCAAAAAGCAGAACTACTAATAAGGGTCCAACAAAGATCACAAGGGAAAGGGCAAAAGCAGAACTACTGATAAGGGTCTATGTTCAGCAGTGCATGTGTTGTCTTGATAAACATCTTAACAGAAAACAGGATTCAAGAGCAGAGAACCAGTCCGACAACAAATTTACCAGGGAGGAGTTTTTTCCCCACCCTAGTAAGCCTGAGGATACTGCAGGAGACCAGGGTATATTTCAACCCTTACCTCAACTGCATAGGACAGACACTCCCAGAGCTGTTTTTAGACCTCCCCCAAGGAATGCATTCCTTTCCCAGGGTATTAATATTAATATTCCTTTCTAGGAAAAGAATTTAGTGATATCTTCCCTACTTGCACGTCCATTTACAGGCTCTCTGCAAGGAGAAAAATATGGCTCTTTTTGCCCGACCCCACAGGCAGTCACACCTTATGGTTGTCTGTCCTTGTTCCCTAAAAATCGCTGTTATTCTGCTCTTTTTCAAGGTGCACTGATTTCATATTGTTCAAACACACATTTTACAATCAATTTGTAAAGTTAACACAATTATGACAGTGGTCCTGAGGTGATGTACATCCTCAGCTTACGAAGATAACAGGATTAACAGATTAAAGATAGGCATAAGAAATTATAAAAGTATTATTTGGGAACTGATAAATGTCCATGAAATCTTCACAATTTATGTTCCTCTGCCGTGGCTCCAGCCAGTCCCTCCGTTCAGGGTCCCTGACTTCCCGCAACATGCTGCCACGCCCAGCTAATTTTTGTATTTTTTAGTAGAGATGGGGTTTTACCATGTTGACCGGGATGGTCTTGATCTCTTGACCTCGTGATCCACTGACCTCAGCCTCCTAGAGTGCTGGGATTACAGGCATGAGCCCCCACACCCAGCTTAACTGATTTTATATCTTACTATTTTTTTGAGAGAAGGTCTTACTCTATCACCCAGGCTAGAGTGCAGTGATGCACTGCAGTGGTGCTGAGCTCACTGCAGCCTCAACCTCTCAGGCTTAGGTGATCTTCCCACCTCAGCCTGCCAAGTAGCTGGGACTAACTACAGGTGTGTGCCACCCCACCCAGCAAATTTTTTGTAGAGACGGGTTTTCACCATGTTGCCCAGGCTTATCTCAACTCTTGGACTCAGGCAATCTGCCCACATCAGCCTCCTGAAGTGCTGGGATTACAGGTGTGAGCCACTGTACCCTGCTCCTTTTACATGCTTTTCATTGAGAAATTACGTAATGAACCTTACCGGAGCTGTGTTTGAAATTAAATAGTAATTTAAGAATTCTTTAATGAATAAATTCCTTGGAGTTGGTTGCATATATTTTGGTTACTTGGAAAGCCTTTTAACATGACTTCTACCCCTGAAACTGTGTTATAGATGGTGAGATTGCCAGATAACTGAGTTCTGGGTAGGAAGCAAATCATGATGTTTGAGTGAGGTAGATGGATGGGAGCGGGAGTGGGTAAGGGGAAGTTCTTATTTTTGGTAAAGTTGACACATTTCTTTCATTCATTCATTCATTCATTCATTTATTTGAGATGGAATCTCGCTCTGTTACACAGGCTGGAGTGCAGTGGCGTGATCTTGGCTCACTGCAAGCTCTGCCTCCCGGGTTCACGCCATTCTCCTGCTTCAACCTCCTAAGTAGCTGGGTGCCTGCCACCATGCCCGGCTAATTTTTTGTGTTTTTTTGTATTTTCAGTAGAGACGGGGTTTCACCATGTTAGCCAGGATGGTCTAGATCTCCTGACCTGGTGATCTGCCTGCCTTGGCCTCCCAAAGTGCTGGGATTACAGGCGTGAGCTACCGTGCCTGGCCTATTTTTATTTTTTATTTATTTACTTTTTCTGAGACAGAGTCTTACTCTGTCACCTAGGCATGATCACTGCTCACTGTAGCTTTGACCTCCCAGTCTCAGATGATCCTCCCTACTCAGCCTCCTGAGTACCTGGGACTACAGGCACACACTACCATGCCCAGCTAACGTTTGTATTTTTTGTAGAGACGAGGTTTCACCATGTTGCCCAGGTTGATCTCAAACTCCTGAATTCAAGCAATTCTTCTGCCTTGGCTTCTCAAAGTGTTGGGATTACAGGTGTGAGCTACTGTCCCCAGTGAACAAATTTCATAGAGAAATCCATTTTTTGGCTGACTAGTTTCGGCAGTAGTTTGTGTGCTTTTAAAAATTACCATGCTGGCTGCTAAATTTTCTTTTTTTTTTTTTTTCCCTCTGACAGGTTCTTCAGAGCAGATATCCCAGTCTATTGGCAGTGGTTGATCACCTGCTTGACATTTATATCCAACTTACTGGAGAGAAACATCACTCTTGGAGTGGTAGTTCTGTTGGATGTGAACAGGCACCTGAAGAAGTTTCAGAAGCCAGAAGAGAAAACAAAAGACCAACCCTTGAGGGAAGAGAATTATCTTTAAGGTACTGGACTAAACAATTTTTTCTTTTCTTTCTTTTCTTTTTTTTTTTTATTGTGAGACTAGAGTCCCGCTCTGTCACCCAGGCTAGAGTGCAGTGGCGCAGTCTCGGCTCGCTCCAACCTCTGCCTCCTAGGTTGAAAGTTCTTACCAGCTAGAAGGAAATGGTCAGATTTTGAAATTATAGGTTGCTTCATGGTGTCAGATCCCTTTTTCAGATTTATAATTAACGACTGGGAAGGCTTGATTAGGGTAATGTTTTTAACTTTAAAAAATAACTTTTAAAGACAAACTTGTGAATGGCTCCTAACATAATTCTTTCACCAAATGCCCTTTTCTGACACTTGGAGTCTTAAATAAGTCTTGGATTTTGCTATCTATGACTTCTGTGCCGTTCTCTGTTCTCAGTGGTTGACTTTCCCTTTGAAAAGTGAGAATTAGAAATGGGCATCTCCTCAGGCTGGGCGTGGTGGCTTATGCCTGTAATCCCAACACTTTGGGAGGCCGAGGCGGGCAGATCACAAGATCAGGAGTTCAAGACCATCCTGGCCAACATGGTGAAACCCCGTCTCTACTAAAAAAAAAAAAAAAAAATACAAAAATTAGCTGGGAGCGGTGACAGACGCCTGTAATCCCAGCTACTCGGGAGGCTGAGGCAGAGAATTGCTCGAACCTGGGCAGAGGTTGCGGTGAGCCGAGATTGCATCACTGCACTCCAGCCTGGGAAACAGAGTAAGACTGTCTCAAAAAAAAAAAAAAAAAAAAAAAAAATCTCCACATTCTGATCTGATTTTGTTGCTCCCCTCCTTTCCTGCTACCTTGTCTGGCATGGAAGGCAGAGTAATGATTTGATAGGTCACTTCCTGGATTGGGTGAAGATTGGGAACTCTTTGTTTTGCTTTTAAATTTTACACACAAATACAAAGAGGGGAAGGATTGGGATCCCTTAATTACTGGTTGCTCAAATACCTTTTATCTAAGCATTGTCAGAAGAAAGAAGAGAGTTGTCAGGTAAGCCCAGACTTAAGTGGGTCAATAAATTCTGATGCCTCTGATGTCTTTGGCCTGTGGTCTTTTCGTTTTTTCTTTTCTTTTTTTTAAAGGGATCTGCTGAATTGGTGTAATAGGATTGCCCATAGCTTTGACAGTTCATCTTTATCAGCATCATTAAATATTTTTCAAGAGGTAAGATATAGTTTTCCAGTCTTTTTTCTTTTGATTCTGTAAGGCTGTTGACTTCCATTGTTGTTTTCTGTCTTTTGATTGCCATCAGACTTTTCTCTTTTTTCCAAGTATGGTTTTTGTTTGTTTTTTTTTTTTAATTTTTATTTTTTTGAGACGAAGTCTCGCTCTTGTCTCTCAGGCTGGAGTGCAATGGCACGATCTCGGCTCACTACAACCTCCGCCTCCTGAGTTCCAGCGATTCTCCTGCCTCAGCCTCCCAAGTAGCTGGGATTACAGGCACCTGCCACCACGCCTGGCTGATTTTTGTATTTTTAGTAGAGATGGGGTTTCACCATGTTGGCCAGGCTGGTGTTGAGCTCCTGACCTCAGGTAATCCACCGGCCTCGGCCTCCCAAAGTGCTGGGATTACAGGTGTGAGCCACTGTGCCTGGCCTGGTTTGTTATTCTTAGCTAGTTAAAACTCAACTAAAGTGGCATTAAAGCTAATTGAATGTAATACATGTTTTATGGTTTTTGAAACAAATTATTATTAATTTCAAAAGAAATATAGTTTGATATAGAGTAAAACAGATAGTGAAATTAAAGTAAAATGAAAGAAACTCCCAGGTAATAATAAAGCAATATTTGTTCCTATATGTAATTTCTTAGTCTGTTTGATAAATTTGTGTCTGTCCAATCCCTCTACTTTTTTCTCAGTAGGGCTGCTTGATGTTGCTTGACTGAACCTCTTTGTAAGACACCATAAATCCAGGATGGGTTTCTAATGAGGGTGGTGGACTCTTCTGACTAATGCATCTGGGGTCCATTGTTAGTATCTCTGATGGGAGCATGTATGTGCACAGGACTTAACCATTCTAGTGGATATTATTACAGAAGACCAAATCATAGTGGTAAGGTGGAATAAGAACAAAAGGAGTTGGATGTTCTTTTAGAAGTAACTCTTTTAAACTATAGTATATACGGTAACCAGAATAATTGTTCTCTTCTACTCTAAAATATATTTCTACTGAATTTGAGACCAGCCTTTTCAAATCAGTAGTGTATATTCTTTTGAGAACTGGCAAATTGTTTTTGTCCAGCTCTTTTCCCTGCTTATTCCATACAGACCAAATACCTTTATCAAATATCGGCTCTACTATAATTTATGTTACAGTTAATTTAACAACTCCACCTATATTTTCACATTAGACCTAAGTTGTAATTTCTCTAAGGACATTGAGAACTTTTTTTTTTTTTTTTTTGCCGCCCAGGCTGGAGTGCAGTGGCCGGATCTCCGCTCACTGCAAGCTCCGCCTCCCGGGTTTACGCCATTCTCCTGCCTCAGCCTCCCGAGTAGCTGGGACTACAGGCGCCCGCCACCTCGCCCGGCTAGTTTTCTGTATTTTTTAGTAGACACGGGGTTCGGCCAGGATGGTCTCGATCTCCTGACCTCGTGATCCGCCCGTCTCGGCCTCCCAAAGTGCTGGGATTACAGGCTTGAGCCACCGCGCCGGGCCGAGAACTTTTTTTTTCCTCCAAAATATTTACAATCAAATTTGTTCAGAGGAAGATTGCTTTTGGGGACTACTGTTAGCCCTCCGTTTCTGTGAGCTCTGCATCTGTGGAGTCAACCAAACTTGAATCTAAAATATTCCATTCCTGTCCCTAAGATGGACAGTAAAAAGTAAATAAATAAATAAATAAATAAAATATTTCAGGAAAGAAATGATGATTGTATTGAACGTGTACAGACTTTTTTCCTTGGGATTATTCCCTGGACAATACAGTGTAATAACTATATAGCATTTGCATTGTATTAGATATTGAAAATAATCTAGAGATTTAAATAAAATAAAGAGGATGTGAATAGGTTAAATGCAGATTCTCTGCCTTTAAAATTGTTTTTTTTTTTTTTTTTGCTTATTTTTCTACATACTGACACGGGCCCTATACCTTTTGTTTGTTTGTTTTTTGAGACGGAGTCTCGCTCTGTCGCCCAGGCTGGAGTGCAGTGGCGACATCTGGGCTCATTGCAAGCTCCGCCTCCCGGGTTCCTGCCATTCTCCTACCTCAGCCTTCCCAGTAGCTGGGACTACAGGTGCCCACCACCACGCCTGGCTGATTTTTTTTTGTATTTTTAGTAGAGATGGGGTTTCACCGTGTTAGCCAGGATGATGTCAATCTCCTGGCCTCGTGATCTGCCCACCTCGACCTCCTAAAGTGCTGGGATTACAGGCGTGAGCCGCCGCGCCCGGTTACCCTATGCCATTTTATATAAGCGATTTGAGCATCTTCAGATTTTGGTTTCTGTGAGAGGTCCTGGAACCAATCCCCCAGGAATACGTAGGGACAACTGTATTATAATAGTAAATCCTATATTTTTAATATTGACGTTCATAACTTTAGATTTCTGGGTATAAGTTTTCCTGCTTTTTACTAAACTTTAGGGTTGCTGTTATTTGAGTCTTTTGGTGTCTTGTAAACTGACTTTACTTAAAATTACGGCTTTAAAATATATTTTAATTTTGAAAGGACTAGATTCTTCTTGTTAAAAAACAATAGAAAAGATGATGGAAGAAACTTAACTACTAACTCTACCTCTGAGACAAAAGCCATTTGCAGTATTTGGGGCCTATTTTCTCTTTTTTATCAGTTGAGGCAATGCTGTATATTAAGTGTTGTATTCTGAGTGTTTCAACTGTCAGAACAAAAATATAAAATACTTTTAAAAAGGAAGAAAAGAAAATAGATCAGATTGTAACTGCTCAATGGGTTCACCTTGCCCGCTGCCTAGACAGAGAAAATTTATCATGACGGGAATTGCAATAGAGTAATTCACGCAGCACCCACTGTATGGGAGACCAGTTTTATTATTAACTCAAAGCAGTCTTCAAGAGAGCTTGATGAATGCTAGGCTAGCCATATAGGAAATGGAGTTGTTACTCAAATCAATCTCCCTGATAACTCAGAAGCTAGGGTTTTTATGGATAATTTGCTGGGCTGGATACTAGGGAATAGGGTGCTGTGATTGGTTGGGGATGAACTCATAGGGATGTGGAAAGTGGTCTTGTATACTGAGTCTGCTTCTGGGAGGGGTGACTGAGTCAGGTGGGGTTAGTTGCCAGAATGCAAAAATCTGAAAATCACCTCAAAGGGCCAATTTTAGTTTTTGTGATAGTGGTGTTATCTATAGGAGCAGTTGGGGAAGCCACAAATCTTGTGACCTCTGGCCATATGACTCCTGAGCAGTAAGGGATTATAGAAACTATACCTACATTTTAACAGAATTAAGATCCCTCCCATAATCCTAATCCTAATCTTGTGGTCTTTCATTGCGAGTATTTGGTCCCTGAGCAAAGAGGGGGTTAGTTTTAGGGAGGGACTATTATCATCCTTGCTTCCAAGTTAAACTATAAACTAAATTCCTACCATGGTTAGCTTGTCCTATGCCTAGGAATGAGTGAAGATGGCCAGCCTGTGAGGCTTAGAAGTAAGATGGAGTCAGCCATGTTAGATTGCTGTAGTAGTCTTTGCAAAGATAGTTTCAATTCCACACTCGTGGTGTCCTTTACCTTATTTTATCTCTCATATTTTCTGTAAATAGAAAATACAGAAAATACTTGATGAATTCAAGTTTAACATTTTTGGGGTACAATCCATTTTTGGTGGTATTTTATGTTTCATTACGTCGGAAGACATAACTGGTTGGCTCACTGGTAGTTGCTAAGATTGAGTACTAGGTTAAGATAATGACCATGAGGTGTTGCACACCTAATGTTTCTCTTATGGTTAGAAAGCAGTCTTTTGATGTTACCTCAGCACTATATGAGTCAGTTCTCCTTGAAACACATACCCAGTGGTCAACACTAATTGCTCTTCTTTGCCCGAAGCTAGGATTTGCAAAGTGGGGTGTTTTGTTGGGTGCTTTTTATTATTTTGCGAGTATTTCAGTAGTCAATTATTTATATTTGTTGATGTCCTATCTTGCCGTTATGGTCAGGTCCTGAGTCCTGGGTTGGTTCCTTATTTGCACTGCCTTCATTTTTAGAGAAATATGTCTGCTGGATTTTGTGCTTCTCCCTCTCGTGGCCAGGAAAATGATGCTCTGTGATTAACGTATTATTTTAAAAATCAGTCAGCATTTACCTTGGTTATTTTGATAGGCTCTAGACTGTTTCACAGCAATGCTTTCTGAGCATACGAGCAAACTGAAAATGGCGGAAGTTATTGGAAGCAAATTGAACATTTCCAGAAAAAAGGTATGTGTGCTGTTTTTTTACTTTCCTGTTGAAAGGAGGCTAGGATTTTTTGCTTGCTTGCTTGCTGGTCTCTAGTCCTTAGTTGGAACAGCTTTTGCAGTGGTGTCTCTTTTGTAAAAGTTGGCGCTTTTATTGCAGCCTCTTGTGGGCATACAACTCCCAAATGGCGTGAGTGCAATGGCACGACCTTGGCTCACCGCAACCTCCACCTCCTGGGTTCAAGCGATTCTCCTGCCTCAGCCTCCCAAGTAGCTGGGATTACAGGCATGCGCCACCACACCCAGCTAATTTTGTATTTTTAGTAGAGATGGGGTTTCTCCATGATAGTCAGGCTGGTCTGGAACTTGTGACCTCAGGTGATCCAACCAGCCTCTGCCTCCCAAAGTGCTGGGATTACAGGCGTGAGCCACTGTGCCCGGCCATGTTCCACATTCTTAAAGGGAGCTTCCTCATGTCTTGTATCTTCTTCAGTGTTTTAGTGAGCATTTATTTTATTTTGTAGGTAATAGACTCAGGACTGTAACTATGTTTTAGTAATACCTTTGTCTATAACTTAATGCGCAGAGTTTTTCCATCTTTTTTATTATTTTCCCTTATTAGAAAAGTTGGCAAGAGACCGAGTGTGGTGGCTCACACCTGTAATCCCAGGACTTTGGGAGGCGAAAGTGGGTGGATCACCTGAGGTTGGGAGTTTGAGACCAGCCTGGCCAACGTTGTGAAACCCTGTGTCTACTAAAAAAAATACAATGAATTATCTGGCTGTGGAGGCACATGCCTGTATTCCCAACTACTCGGGAGGCTGAAGCGGGAGAATCGCTGGAACCCTGAAGGCAGAGGTTGCAGTGAGCCAAGATTGTGCCACTGCACTCCAACCTGGGCGACAGATCCAGACTCCTTCTCCAATGAAAACCAACCAACCAAACAAAAAATGTTGAAGAGTAGTACCAGTGAATACCTGGATACTCACTACTTAGTTTCATTGTTGACATTGTTAATATTTTCCCATTCTTGTTTTATGTCATACGTATTTTGGGAGGAGGGATCCTTTCAGCAGTGGCATTGGTGTCTGGAAAAAATGTCTGGGCTCATCTTGAAGCAGATGTCTGACATTCTCATATGAATGGTGACTCTAAAAGATCTTATGTCAGGAATTTTACAATAGTAGAGATTTTTATAAGGCTTCTGAAATAGTTGGGATGGTTTTGACTGGAGGTCATAAAACGTCCTACTGAAAGGGACTTAAATGATACGTATATTAATTGTAAGGAAGAATAATGAAAACACCATGAATATTCATTCCACCAATATTCATCATCTTTTGTTGTAGAAGGGCTCACTTTTCCAAGAGCACTTTGCTTCTTTTACTCCTGCCCCAAACCTGAACAAAATCTGTGTTCTTTGGAGAAGAGAAGAATGGCTATTGGGTAGACATCCAGGAGCATCTGCCACAGCTCTTTTTGCTTTGGCTGTAGTCAGATGTACCATGATTTCCTACATTATGTTAGAAATTTAAAGCAGAGGAGCGCATAGCTAGAGAAAGATTTGTCTGATTTTTTTTTCTTACCTTTTAGGTGTAGACTTACTGTTCACTTTATCGGATATATCAGTGTGTTCACTCCATGTATAGGTAGGGCTTATCTGAAAAGTACCATTTTAGGGAATGATAAATGTTTTAAAAACACAGTATTAGAAGTTTGGAAAATGAAAAAAGAAATTTCTTTATGAAAAGCCAACTCAACTGTCTGGGAAGTAGAGAATGATTCTTTGTAGACTGCTAATTTGAGGGCCAAAATAAGCCTCTGGATGAGGAAATACTCAAAAAGCGTGTGGATTTTTACTCAGGTACAATCTTATCTCCCACAGGCTGAATTCTTTTGTCAACTTTATAAACCAGAAATTGTGATCAATGAGCTAGATTTGCAAGTGGGTCGAGTGCGGCTTCTACGGAAACAAAGTGAGGCTGTTCACATGCAGAGGTAAGTAGGGCTCTAAACTAAGCTGCCAACTGTGGGGTTTCCAGAAACTTGATAGAAGGTCTGGCTCAGCCTCTTCTCTTTGTGCAAAACACATGTCTGAACTGTGATATCTGTAGTATACTATATAGGAAGGAGCAGTGTTTTCCCAAAGTATGTTCTGTGAAATTAGATATTAATAGGTGAAAGAGGCAATGAAAGTCATTAAAGACTTGGCACTACCAAAGATGAATTATTGATTTTATTCACTGCAGTGTGTTTAGTGAAGTAAGCCTCAGTTGGAAGTCAGGCTTATGTCTAACATCAGTCTTTAAATTCCTGGAAGGCTGGGGTTATATAAGATTCTGAGATCGAGGTAACTTTAAATACTTATTACATGTCTGACTGTGTACTAAGTGCTTTACATATTTTCTCATGTAGTGGTTGTAATAATCCTGTGAATTAATATATTAGTGTCCTAGGGCTGCCATAACAAATTACCATAAACTTGGTGGTTTTAAACAATAGACATTATTCTTTCACAGTCCTGGAGGCTGGAAGTGTAAAATCAAGGTTTCAATGGGGCCATGCTCCTCCCCTCTGAAGGCTCTAGGGCAGAATGCTTTCTTGCCTCTTCCTGATTTCTTTCTTTCTTTTCTTTTATTGTTTTTGAGACAGCGTCTCACTGGGTTGCCCAGGCTGGAGTACAGCGGTACATGTTGGTTCACAGCAACCTGTGGCTCCCTGGTTCAGGTGATTCTCGTGCCTCAGCCTCCCGAATAGCTGGGATTACAGGCATGTGCCACCACGCCCAGCTAATTTTTGTATTTTTAGTAGAGACGGGGTTTCACCATCTTGGCCAGGTTGGTCTTCGACTCCTGACCTCAGGTGATCCACCTGCCTTGACCTCCCAAAGTGCTGGGATTATAGGCCTGAGCCACAGTGCTTGTCCTCTTCCTGGTTTCTTTGGCTCCCAGCAGTCCTTGGTGTTCCTTGGCTTGTATTTGTATCACTGTTAAGTTCTGTCTCTCTTATCACGTGGCCCTTCTTCCTTGTGTGTGTATTTTTTTTCTTTTCTTTTTTTTGAGATGGAGTCTTGCTCTGTCGCCCAGGCTAGAGTGTAGTGGCGCGATCTCAGCTCACTACAACCTCCACCTCCAGGGTTCAAGCGATTCTCCTGCCTCAACCTCCTGAGTAGCTGGGACTGCAGGTGTCCGCCACCACGCCCGGCTAATTTTTGTATTTTTAGTAGAAATGAGGTTTCACCATATTGGCCAGGCTGGTCTTGAACTCCTGACCTTGTGATCTGCCCGCCTCGGCCTCCCAAAGTGCTGGGATTACAGGCGTGAGCCACTGCGCCCTGCCTTGTGTGTTTATTTCTGTGTCACCAAATCTTCCTTTTATAAGGACACCAGTCGTTGGATTTAAGACCCACCCTAATGCAATATGACCTTATCTTAATTTGATTAAATTTCTTCAAAGACCCTATTTTGAAATAAGGTCACATTCATAGGATCTGGGTAGGCATGAATTTGGAGAAGATTATTAACCTATTACAACTCGGTACTGTTGTTACCCACATCTTACAGGTGAGGAAACTGAGGCTAAGACACATTAAGTAATTTGTCCAAGATGAGCTAACTGGTACAGATAGTCTTGTCTTATTGATCTTTTTAATCTTCAGAGCCTAGCGTGGTATCAGATGTGTGAGTATTCGGTGTTTGCAGAAAAACTAAATTCTGTAATTTTTGTATGTTGTAAGACTATCTGGTATAACTTGAAGACAATTACTCTGGGCTGTTTTCTCATCCTTGTTTGTTGAACCTGGAATATCTGGTTTCCCAGAACAAAACTGGGAGAAGCTTGCAGCGTGGTTTTTAAACTCTTTTTTCTCCTTTCCAGGGAGAAGTTCACTTTTGCTGCTACACGGCCGTCCTCTGTTCTCATTGAGCAGCTTGCAGTGTGTGTCAGCAAAGGGGAGCCTGTGTTGCTGGTGGGAGAGACCGGAACTGGCAAAACTTCTACTGTCCAATACTTGGCTCACATTACAGGTAATCCCTAGAGGAAATAAATCTGCCCCCAGACATTTCACACTGACTACTTTTTTTCCTTTTTTAAAAATATGAAATCCAAAGACCACAGAGTTTAAAAAGTGCCAGCACCCCACATATAATCTCTTTGCCTGGAACTAACTACTTTAAATAGATTATTATTAAATTATTTCTAATCTCTGCCTATGCAAATATATATATGAATAGATTTTGTTTTATTTCAAAACAGATATGGGATTATATTCTACATGTTGCATTATACCTCATTTTTTTAAAAATTTTTATTCTTTTTGAGACAGAGTCGCACTGTTGCTTAGGCTGGAATGCAGTTGCGAGCTCACAGGTCACTGCACCCTTGACCTCCCAGGCTCAAGTGATCTTCCTACCTCAGCCTCCGAGATAGCTGAGACTACAGGCCTGTGCCACCGCGTCTGGCTAACTTTTAAAGTTTCTTGTAGAAACGAGGTCTCGCTGTGTTGCTCAGGTTGGTCTTCAACTTCTGGGCTGTCATGATTCAGAGCAAATGCACATTTGAAAATTTGCCTTATTGCTGGGCGCAGTGGCTCATGCCTGTAATCCTAGCACTTTGGGAGCCTGAGGTGGGAGGATTGCTTGAACCCAGGAGTCAAGACCAGCCTGGCAACATCATGAGACCATGTCTCTACAAAAAAAATAAAAAAATTGGCCAAGTGTGGTGGTATATGCCGGTAGTCCCAGGTGCTTGAGAGGCTGAGACAGAAGGATCACTTGAGCCCAGGAAGTTGAGGCTGCAGTGAGCCATGATTGGGCCACTGCACTGTAGCCTGGTTGACAGAACAAGAGTCTGTCTCAAAAAATAAAGCCCCATGCCATATTCCCACAGCCTTAAGGAGCACACTGGATATTATCGGTCTTTAAATTTTTGGAATAACACTTTTGCACTTTCTTTATAAAAGGCCACCGTTTGAGAGTTGTCAATATGAATCAGCAAAGTGATACTGCAGACTTGCTTGGAGGGTAAGTGTGGCTTAAAATGTTTTTCTTATTTTTGTGTTTATTACTTGAGGTAAGAAATACTGTTTCCTTAGTGTTACAACCACAGGTTATAGGGTGCTCTGTGCAATAGAAAAAGTTTCCTCAGATAAGGCTTTATTGGAGCTTTTGGCAGGGTACCAGGGAGGTAGCACGAAAGAGAGAATTCTATGGCTGGCCCAACTAAGACAGTCAGGAAAGTAATTTTAAGGGGCTAAAGTGGGAACGAAGTGATATTTAAGCATGTAGAGGCAGGGAACTTCTGGCACTTGAACAGTTTGATAACATATTTCTTCATGTGTCCCATGTCTCATTAACATGGGTGTGATTTGTAGCATAGCAATGAAGCTAAGGCGAAGGATCAGTCATTCTTCTGGTCTTGTGTGTGTGCAGGAAAAAGGGTAAACTCCCTTGAGTAAGACTTAAGGTGTGAGTTGCCTATTTTAGTTTCCTCAGGATCCCACCATCAGTGTGTGTGGTGCTTTGAGTAAGATTTATGGTGGGACATTGCTCATCTTAGTCTCTCTAAGACACCTTGAGCAAGATTGCACCTTACCCCCCAACCACAGCAAGGTACTTATTTGAATTTATTGAGGAGCTCATGGGTGTGTAGATATTTCTCTTCATTTTAACGAACACTTGAGGCCCTTGTTCTCAAAGGTCATATGCTGGAAGAAGGAGAAAAAGCAGGCAAGTATATAATCAATTAATGTTTGTCTATATAGTACAGTTGATCTAAAGTGTAAGTTCTGGGCCAGGTGTGGTGGCTCACACCTGTAATCCCAGCACTTTGGGAGGCCTAGATGGGTGAATCACTTGAGGTCAGGAGTTCGAGACCAGCCTGGCAGACATGGTGAAATCCTGTCTCTACCAAAAAATACGAAAATTAGTTGGGCTTGGTGGTGTGCGCCTGTAGTCCCAGCTAGTAGGGAGGCTGAGGTGGGAGAATTGGTGAATCCGGGAGGCAGAGGCTGGAGTTAGCCAAGATTGTGCCACTGCGCTCCAGCCTTTCTACCTTGGTTTTATTTTACTTATATTTGGTTGGTTGTTTGAGGAACTTGGCAATCTGTTCTTATTAATATATGTGATTTTTCATTTAAGCAGACGTGTCTATACTGCTGTATATATTTATCTTTATTCTTTTTTTTTTTTGAGACGGAGTCTTGCTCTGTCACCAGGCTGGAGTGCAGTGGCGCGATCTCTGCTCACTGCAACGTCCGGCTCCCGAGTTCAAGTGATTGTTCTGCCTCAGTCTCCTGAGTAGCTGGGACTATAGGCGCACACCACCACGGCCAGCTAATTTTTGTATTTTTAGTAGAGACGGGGTTTTGCCATGTTGACCAGGATGGTCTCGATCTCTCGTGATCCACCCACCTAGGCCTCCCAAATTGCTGAGATTACAGGTGTGAGCCACTGCACCCGGCCTCTTAATTCTTTTTTTTGTTTTGTGGGAGGCAGGGTCTTGTTCTGTCACCAAGGCTGGAGTGCAGTGGTGTGATCATGGCTTAGCACAGCCTTGAACTCCTGGGTTTAAGCAATCCTTCTGCCTCAACCTACCCAGTAGCTAGGACTACAGGCATGAGCCACCATGCCTGGTCTATTTCTCTCTATTCTGTATCTATATGTCTTTAGGAATTTCATGCCATTAAATAGTCCTAACATAAATGGCATTGATCTTGTACTAACTGAACACGGACTGGGTCCTTTCTTCTATCGTGAATTTGTTGTGTTATGTTAGCCATTGCAAGTTGTTTTAAATATAGTGAGTAAACAGTACATTTGTGATGCAAATTGATGACACAAAAAGGTGGTACTCAAAATATGATTAACTAGAATTTTGTTTTGGTGCCAACTTGGTGAATAGAATATATCTGTTTTTCCTTGTTAGTAGGTCAGCATCAGTTATTAAAAGAAAATGCAACTTACATTTCAATTTGAAAAGATCACTTGAGCCTGTGAGGTTGAGGCTGCAGTGAACTGTGGTCATGCCATTGTACTTTAGCTGGGATGACAAAGCAAGACCCTGAACAGGATCTCACTCTGTTGCCTAGGCTGGTCTTGAACTCCTGGCCTCAAGTAGTCCTGCTTCAGCCTCCCAAAGTGTTGAAATTACAGATATGAGCCATTGAGCCTTTTCTCAATTTTTGTGTAGTTGGAAATATGCCTTGTTTTCTGTACTCTTACATTACTACAAAGATATATATATTTTTAATTATTATCCTTTAAGTTCTAGGGTACTTGTGCGCAACGTGCAGGTTTGTTACATATGTATACATGTGCCATATTGGTGTGCTGCACCCATTAACTCGTTATTTACATTAGGTATATCTCCTAATGCCATCCCTCCCCTCTCCCCCGACCCCACGACAGGCCCTGGTATATGATGCTCCCCTTCCTGTATCCAAGTGTTCTCATTTTTCAGTTCCCACCTGTGAGAGAGAACATGCAGTGTTTGGTTTTCTGTCCTTGCAATAGTTTGCTCAGAATGATGGTTTCCAGCTTTATGCATGTCCCTACAAAGGACATGAACTCATCCTTTTTTATGGCTGCATAGTATTCCATGGTGTGTATGTGCCACATTTTCTTAATCCAGTCTATCATCGATGGGCATTTGGGTTGGTTCCAAGTCTTTGCTATTGTGAATAGTGCCGCAATAAACATACGTGTACGTGTGTCTTTATAGCAGCATGATTTATAATCCTTTGGGTATATACCCAGTAATGGGATGGGTGGCTCAAATGGTATTTCTAGTTCTAGATCCTTGAGGAATCACCATACTGTCTTCCACAATGGTCGAACTAGTTTACAGTCCCACCAACAGTGTAAAAGTGTTCCTGTTTCTCCACATCCTCTCCAGCACTTGTTGTTTCCTGACTTTTTAGTGATCACCATTCTAACTGGTGTGAGATGGTATCTCATTGTGGTTTTACTACAAAGAGATTTAAATAAAATCTTTAGCATATATTATGTTATAGATGAATAGGTGACTCCCTTGTTTAAGAATCATTGTAGAAGATGAGAATACCAAAAAGTTTTTAAAAAGGCAAAGGAATGGAGAACAAAATTCAGCTGTAGGCAAAAAGATGAGATGGGGAAAAGATAAATATTCCTATCCTCAGGCTGTGTTACTGGTTTCGTCTGTTTTATAAGTTATGTTAAATATGTTTTGCATGTGTCCAATATTAAATAATAACCTGGTTTGCAAATCTGGATCCTTTGGGGGTTTTTTTGTTTTTTTTTTTTTTAAAGATAGGGTCTCACTTTGTCACCCAAGCTGGAGTGCAGCGGCATAAACATGACTTTCTGGGCTCAAGTGATCCTTCCACCTTAGCCTCCTGAGCAGCTGGGACTGCAAGCGCAAGCCACCACATGCAGCTGCTTTATTTTTAGTAGAGATGAGGTCTCACTATGTTGCCCAGACTGGTCTGGAACTTCTGAACTCAAGGAATCTTCCTGCCTGGGCCTTCCAAAGTGCTAGGATTACAGGCACTGTAGCTGGTCTTGGATTTTATTTGTTTATTTAATTTTAACTCTTTTTTTTGTGGGGGACAGAGTCTCACTCTGTTGCCCAGCCTGGAGTACCATGGTGCCCTCATAGTTCACTGCAGCCTCTGCGTCCTAGGCTTATGTCATCCTCTTGCCTCAGCCTCCCGAGTAACTGGGACTACAGATATGCACCCCCATGCTTAGCTGATTATTTTCTATTTTTGTAGAGATGAGGTCACATTCTGTTGCCCATTGTATTCATTTGTTTCACGCTGCTGATAAAGACATACCCAAGACTGGATAATTTACAAAGAAAAGAGGTTTAATTGACTTATAGTTCCACATGTCTGGGGAGGCATCACAATCATAGCGGAAGACAAGGAGGAGCAAAGTCACGTCTTACATGCATGGTGGCAGTCGAGAGCTTGTGTAGGGGAACTCCCCTTTATAAAAGCATCTAATCTCATGAGATTTATTCACTGTCATGAGAATAGCTCGGGAAAGACCCACCCCCATGATTCAATTGCCTTCCACCTGTCCCTCACACAACACGTGGGAATTGGAACTACAATTCAAGATGAGATTTGGGTGGGGACACAGCCAAACCATATCACCCTGGATGAATCTTGAACTCCTGAGATCAAGTAGTCCTTCCCACTCAACCTCCCAAAGTGCTGAGATTACAGGCATGAGCCACTGTATTTGGCCTTTTTAGATTAATTTTAAAAACTTTTAAAAATTATTTTTGTTTTTTTTGAGACAGGGTCTCACTCTGTCACCCAGGCTGGAGTGGAGTGGCACCATTAGGGCTTATTACAGCCTTGACCTCCCTGGCTCAAGCTATCCTCCCACCTTGGCCCTCTTGAGTAGTTGGGACTACAGGCATGTGCCACCATACTCAGCTAATTGTTTTTGAACTCTAGTAGAGATGAGGTCTCACTATGTTGCCCAGGCTGGTCCCCTGAGCTAAAGTGATCCTCCCACCTTGACCTCCCAAAGTGCTGGGATTACAGATGTGAGCCACCGTGCCCCAGCCTAGATTGATTTTATTTATTCATTTATTTTTTTGAGAGAGTTTTGCTCTTGTTGCCCAAGCTGGAGTGCAATGACACTATCTTGGCTCACTACAATGCCTGCCTCCTTGGTTCACGCAATTCTCCTGCCTCAGCCTCCCGAGTAGCTGGGATTATAGGCATGTACCACCACGTTGGCTAATTTTGTATTTTTAATTGAGACAGGGTTTCACCATGCTGGTCAGGCTGGTCTCAAACTCCTGACCTCAGGTGATCCACCCGCCTCAGCCTCCCAAAGTCCTGGAATTACAGGCGTGAGGCACTGTGCTCTGTCCTAGATTGATTTTTGAAACAATTATTATTATGGGTAAAGATACTTTATAAAAATAAGGGCCTTAGAGACCATCAAATTATTTACATTATGGCAAATTGTCTTTTGCTCTTTGTTAGTGTCCATTGTCCATTACCTCCTTGCTTTTTATTCTT